GCCTCAGCCTCCCAAGTAGCTGGGATTACAGGCAGCTGCTACCAGGCCCGGCTAATTTTTGTATTTTTAGTAGAGATGGGGTTTCACCGTGTTGGCCAGACTGTTCTCAAACTTCTGACCTTAAGTGATCTGCCTGCCTCAGCCTCCCAAAGTGCTGAGATTACAGGCGTGAGCCACCGTGCTCAGCCCACAGTGAAATTTTGCTGCCTCTTCATAAACAACTCCAACTTCTTTGAGACTGAAGCAATTCCTAAAACGGTTAAGTGAACATTAGCTGGTTTTGAATTACCTCTAGTCAGAAAGCTGTCTCTGTTGAGGCAGTGTGCGTGCAGGCAAAGCGTTTTTCTGAGCATTTTGCCAGTAAGGCTTGTAATCCTCAAATTCATGTGTTGCAGTCATAAATATTTTACGTGTTCTGTCTTCATTAAGGTCTTGCTCACCAACTGGCAGCTTGTTGGAACTCTTGTCACTATTCATTGACCAATTTCTCCATCTTCGTGGTATAGATGCTACATTAATTGTGGCCATTGTTATAAATCACTTTGGATGCCATTTCTCTGCAAAGCTAGGGTTTTGTTTTACTTTTTTTTTCTGTTTTTGAGACAGGGTCTCACTGTATCACCCAGGCTGGAGTGCAGTGGCTTGATCACAGTTCACTGCAGCCTCCAACTCCAGATGCAAGGGATCCTCCCACCTTAGCCTCCCTAGTGCCTGGGACAACATGTATGTGCCACCACACCCAGCTAATTTTGTTTTCTGTAGAGATGGGTCTCACTATGTTGCCCAGGCTGGTCTTGACTTCCTGGACTGAAATGAGCCTCCTGCCTTGGCCTCCAAAGTGCTGAGATTATAGGTGCGAGGCACTGCATCAGGCCCAGGTTTATTTCAAATGTAGGATCAGATTGCTGTTTTGGGGATTGAACAACAGATGAAAAAAACAGTTGATTTGTGTCTAAGAATGATGTGGTAGGAAATCCTCCTTGATTTGATTTGATTTATTGATTTTTGTCAGGGAACGGGGAGTGTCACTCTAGTGCCCAGGCTGGTGCGCACTGGTGCCATCTTGGCTCACTGCAACCTCTGCCTCTCCATCTCAAGCGACAGTCCTGCCTTAGTTGGGATTACAGGCGTGTACCACCACACTCGGCTGATTTTTGTCTTAGCTAAAATACAAAAAATTAACCAGGCGTGGCGGCATGCACCTGTAGTCCCAACTACTCTGGAGACTGAGGTAGGAGAATTGCTTAAACCTGGGAGGCAGAAGTTGCAGTGAGCCAAGATCACGCCTCCCAAGGTGCTGGGATTACAGGTATGAGCCACCGTGTGCTGTTTCAAAGCAGTCAACAAAGCTCCAAGACCAGAGTCGACTTGAAGATGCATTTGAATTGGTGGAAGTCCTCACATATGGTCCAGATCCATCTCTAGCTTGGCCAAGGCCCATTTGACTTGGCTTTGTCTCCCACCATACGGAAGAATGGAAAAGTCACATCACATGTTGGATGCTTATCTGCAGGCTAAGCTAAACATTAACAAAAAGAGACATAGCTGAAATAACATGGATGGTTCTGCCAGCTGTCGGACTGCCAGCTCATGGTCACTTATGTCCTGAGTGACCATGAGCTGAGAGCTGCTCTTGAGAAGCCCCAGTCTGGTGTGCACCTCTTGGTATAGGCATCCTGTCATTCTAGTGTTTAAAGGAAGATTTCCTGGCCGGGCGCATTTGCTTACGCCTGTAATCCCAGCAACTTGTGGGGGCTGAGGCAGGCAAATCACTTGAGGTCAAGAGTTTGAGACCAGCTTGGCCACATAGTGAAACCTCATCTCTACTAAAAATACCAAAAAAAATAGCATGGTGGCGTGTGCTTGTAATCCCAGCTCCTTGGGAGACTGACAGAGGAGAATCTCTTGAACCCTGGAGGCAGAGGTTGCAGTGAGTGAGCTGTGATTATGCTATTGCACTCCAGTCTGGGCAAAAGAGCGAGACTCCATCACAAAAAAAGACAAAGAAAAAAATAGCACATGATCATGGGACCCTGGTTAGGAACCCTGAACGCCCATGGTGACAGAAGGATGGTTACACCACTTTGTTTGGGGATCATATAGAGCTCTTTTTAAAGATGCCCTTTTGAAACCAAACAATAAACTTTTGGTGATTCTGTTATATCATATTTTTTGGTAGAGATGGGGTCTTGCCATGTTGACCCGGCTGGTTGCAAACTCCTGGCTTCAAGCGATCCTCCTGCCTTAGCCTCCCAAAGTGCTATGATTACAGGTGACAGCGCCTGCACCCACCCTCCCTCATATATTCTATTTTATTTTATTTAGATATGGAGTCTCAATCTGTTGCCCAGGAGGGAGTGCAGTGGCAAAAGCTCAGCTCACTGCAACCTCTGCCTCCCAGGTTCAAGCGATTCTCCTGCCCCAGCCTCCCAAGTAGCTGGGATTATAGGTGCACACCAGCACACCCGGCTAATTTTGGATTTTTAGTAGAGACGAGTTTTACCATGTTGGCCAGGCCGGTCTCAAACTCCTGACCTCAAGTGACCTCCCCACCTCAGCCTCCCAAAATGCTGGGATTACAGGCATGAGTCAACATGCCCAACCACAAGGATACTTTTTTTTTTTTTTTTTGAGGTGGAGTCTCACTCTGTTGCTGGGGCTGGAGTACA